ATCCTCGTGTACGTCGACGACTTGGTCTTTGCCACTGCTGACACTGAGGCTCTCGCCCTGGTGAAGTCGGAGCTGCAGAAGAGACACACGTGCACAGACCTGGGTGAGCTGCGCAGTTACCTTGGCTTGCAGATCACCCGGGACAGAGCACGCCGCACCATCACCCTGACTCAGTCACACATGGTGCAGCAGGTCCTTCAGCGCTTCGGTTTCACCTGGTCCTCGGCACAGGCCACTCCTCTGGCTACAGGTCACTCGCTCTCACCTCCACCTTCGGACGAGTCCGTAGAGCCGAGTGGTCCTTACCCAGAGCTAGTTGGCTGCCTCATGTACCTGATGACCTGCACTCGTCCTGACCTTGCGTACCCTCTTGGCCTTCTGGCTCGCTACGTGGCTCCTGGTCGGCACCGAAAGGTGCACATGGATGCTGCTAAGAGGGTACTGCGCTACTTGTGCAGTACATCGGGCATGGGGCTCGTGCTTGGAGGACGGGGCGACGTTGTCCTCACTGGTCACTCGGACGCTTCTTGGGTTGACGACCAGGCTACGCAGCGGTCGTCTCAGGGTTACACCTTCAGCCTTGGCTCTGGTTCAGTTTCTTGGCGTTCTACACGCTCGTCTTCAGTTCTCAGCTCCAGTTGTGAGGCTGAGATCTACGCCACAGCCATGGCTGCACAGGAGTTACGGTGGCTCACCTACCTGCTGATCGACCTGGGAGAGCGGCCTCGTTCTCCTCCAGTGCTGTACGTCGACAACAAGGCAGCCATTGCCTTGTGTCAGGAGCACAGACTGGAGCACAGAACGAAGCACATCGCTCTGCGTTACTTCCTGGCTCGAGAGTTGCAGCAGCGGGGTCAGCTTCGTCTTGCTCACGTGGCCACTCGGGCCAACACTGCTGATATATTCACCAAGGCACTTCCGTCTGGTGATCATCAGCGCTTTTGTACTTTGTTGGGCCTTGTGCCTACGTTTCCACACTTGCTGTAGATTCTGCTTGTACTGTGATCTATACATATATACCTGCATGCTTGCTCTTGTTAGGTACTGATCACTGTGCTATTGCTGCATATACATCTCTGCATGTGAACTGGCCTTGTGGCCTCTTGCTTGTGCTCAGAGTGTGTGGTGACTTTGTGATCCACCTTGAGCTGTGTTTTGTTTCTTCTCTTGACTGGTCTTTTGACCTTTGCTTGCTCTGGCTATCCCCCATTTCGCCTATGGGGGTGTGTCAAATCATATATGCATGTTTAGGTTATCTAGGCTGTATGGGGGTTAGCACTAGGGGGTACAACATTTCTCTCGACATTCTTCTTGTACCCCCCTCTTGACCTAATCACACATTCCTTCCTAGTATTCCAACATTCCCTTCTCTCTCCCTGCTGCGCGTGCAACAGTGGGGGGGGGGGGGGGGGGGGGGGGGGGGGGGGGGGGGGTGTGTTTGGGGTGGCGGGTGTGAGCAACCAGCTGCCGCCCCTCCTCCTCTCTCTCTCACTGCCGCACGTGCCGCTGTGTGTCAGAATGTTGTATTTGTCTAGCCTGCAGTGGGGTACTCTATAGCGAGTACAGCCCAATCTAGGGTTTCCTATATGTACTCAACTGCTTGCTAGTGAACCTCCTCCTTTCTTCATTCTTACTTACTACTGCTAGTTCTGACATGCTATCAGAGCAGGTCGATCCCCTTGGGTCGATCCTGTGGGTGGGCCCACCACCTCACTGCTTCCGCTGCTACTGCTACTCTGTGTGTTGCACGCCCCGTGGCGTGCGACGGATTTTTCATCCCGCCGCGCGCTCGGAGCGTGCGGCGGTTTTCTGCCCGCCGTGCGCCCCGAGGCGCGCGGCGGTTTTCTGCCCGCCGTGCGCCCCGAGGCGCGCGGCGGCTTTCTGCCCCGTCACTCCGCGCGTCGCTCCCGGGAGGCGCTGCGACGGGCGACGGGGACCCGCGCGTCGCCCCCCGTCGCCCGTCGCGGCCTGCGCGACCTGCGTTGGGCCCGCGCGCGGCCCGTACAGCCTGCGCGCGGCCCGTACGGGCTGCGCCAGGCCCGCGCGCGGCCCGTACGGGCTGCGCCAGGCCCGCGCGCGGCCCGTACGGGCAGCGCCAGGCCCGCGCGCGGCCCGTACGGACTGCGCCAGGCCAGGGCGCGCCTCGGGCCGCCCGCACGCGGTTCGTACGGGCTGCGCCAGGCCCGTGGGCGCCCTGTTTTCTCTGCCCCTGCGCTGCCCGCTGTCCCCCGTGCTTCTGACGGCGCCCCACCCCTGCTGCTGCCCGTTCTCCTGAATTAGGGTTTGGGGGTGGGGGGTATGGGGGTGCAGTTTCTGTGCGTCGTCCCCTACTCCTCCTCCTCCTCCGTCTCCCAGTGCTGCAGCTGCCGCTGAGGGGGGTGGGTGTGTGGGAGCCGAAGGAGTGGTACTAGGGGGGTGACGTGCAAGTGGAGTTAGGAGTGAAGCAGTGGGTGTGTGGGGGGTGTGTGGGACAGTTGGAGGAGGTTGAGCGGAGGCTGCTGTCTTGTCGTCCGCAGCACCTGTAGTCCGGGGCGCACTGTCCTGGTAGCCCAGAGAGTCTGCTGCGCCTGTCGCCCGAGGGTCAGTTGCTCCTGTAGCTCGTCGTAGCCCGTGAGCCAGTTACTCCAGTAGTCCGGGGCGCACTGTCCCGGTAGCCACTGTGCCAGCAGCTCTTGTTGCCCGTGTGTCTGCAGCTTCAGCCGCCGTCTCTCATCTTCTCTCCTCTCACAGTCCCTCCTCCTCCTCACTTGCCCGCTGTGATTACCTCTAACTTTGCTTCTTATTGTGAACTCCTGCTATACCTGCTCATTGTGCTGATTACACCCCACTTTGGCTATGGGGGTGTGTCAGAATGTTGTATTTGTCTAGCCTGCAGTGGGGTACTCTATAGCGAGTACAGCCCAATCTAGGGTTTCCTATATGTACTCAACTGCTTGCTAGTGAACCTCCTCCTTTCTTCATTCTTACTTACTACTGCTAGTTCTGACACTGTGGGGGGGAGGGTGAGGGGGTGGAAGCCGTGTGAAGGCTTGTGCAGGGACCACCGTGGGTGGGGAAGGCTTTGGAGGCATGGTGGGGGGGAAGGCGTGAGGTTTTAGAGGGCGGTTGACAAGGGGGGTGAGGTTGAGGGGGGTGGCTAAAAGGGGTTGTGGAATTAGGGGGTTAGTAAGAGGGGCTTGCCCGTGGCTCCCCCCATCTCCTCTCCTCATCCCTCTCTCACCCCCCCCTTTTGTAAAACGGGGGTTCGTAAGAGGGGCTTGCCCGTTGGCTCCCCCCACCTCCTCTCCTCAACCCTCTCTCACCCCCCCCTTTGTAAAACGGGGGTTCGTAAGAGGGGCTTGCCCGTTGGCTCCCACCATATCTTGTAATGATCATTATAAAAGGAGAGAAAAACAAGTACCGTATGTATTATTATAACGCCTAAGTTACATAATATATAAATGTACATGGCGTCATTTTAAACAACATACATGGAAACGCCGAAAACGAGATACGATAAGTTGGTTGGTTCATGGATTTGTTTTCCTTATTTACCCATCGCGTCTGCGTTCTAGAATATCGACGGCTGGTTTCCCAGGGCGAATCAATGCCTCGCCGCCCTCCTGGTCCATATGAACCTATGTGTGCATGTACGAGTCCGTGAACACGGGTTAGATAACTAAAAGGTATTATAGCTATGAGACATTAATGTTTTATTTACATAATATTAATAGCCATTTTGTGATTATGCTTGTGGAACGCCCCTCAAACTAATCTTGTAGGTGATGCTCCAATGGTTGAGTGAGATTGTAGGGGATGCTAATTTGCTTTTACCTTCAAGCTTGAGCTTGGAAAAATGGCTAAAAGAAGAGGGAGAGCGAAAATATCACCGTAGTCGAAGTTTGAAGTTTCCTGTGTAATTTCGTTCACTGAAGGGATGAACCTGCATGATACTACCATTTTGTCGTTGAGCTGATTTTGAGAACATGTAGGACACCTGGCAAAATGTGATAATTGCGTCAGCTCTGTCATAACAGTGGAAAGCAGCTCCTCGAACAATGTGGTCAGTGTAACTGTAGTTTCTAACTGTACACTAAGCCGCAATCCATGATTACTCTCCAGCCGCACCGCACTGTATTGTTCAGATTTGATAAATTACTGTTCGGCTACAAAACGAATTTGAGCGTGGTGACAGCGGGCATTGGGCACGCTTAGCGAAAAGCTAACCTATGAAATCTCGTCATTGTTCATCCCCGTCTATATTCCAAAATTTTATGCTGCCAAGAGCCGTGATCTTTCTATGTCTCATATCAATCCGCATTGATGAGCACAATCGTGAAACGCGTCTCTGAGTTGTGAGCAACGCGGTTTGCACTGTGCTGTTTTTGCGGTCTTGTCAGGAAGGACGAATAGTTTGTGTGTCCACGGTTACTTGCGGGTTTGGCCAATCAATAGAGCCAGTCAGTAAATCACACAGCCGAGGCTCCTGGTGTAAAGATTTTGCTGCCTCCGAACCGAAGGGGTGTCAGGAGCAGGCCTGTCGATTGACGGGCATATGCCCTTAATTCCCTGAAATTCCGGGCTACGTTTGCTCCAGCTCGACTGCATAAAGTGTTAGGATCGCCCTGCACCCGTGACACTAAGTGCTTCGTTCGACCCTTCCCCGTATACGTTAAGTGCTCCAACCAGGCCTTCCCCACCCACAAAGTTTTGATTTCCGGTTCTAGGACCCCCCCCCCCAAGAAATTCTGCCTGACCCCCCCACTCTCCCCCCCTTTCTCCTTAGGTTCAACGAGAGCGCGCCAAGGGGATTTTTCCCTTAGCGTTTTCTAAACCAATCCCGTGTTCGTGATATCTCTAAGTCAGCTTTGGAGCAGCCGAACTTTCCCTTAGCTAAGATAGTGTAGTGCAAGCCCGGATCAAGTTTTCACTTTGGCCTGCGCCCGTGACCGTTAAGGGCGCCAAAACACTCAGCTACGGCCAAAACAGGGTCAGATAGGGAGGAGCTGGGGACTCCAAGTATGGGCCCCAGGAACTTCGACAGGCCTGGTCAGGAGGTACATTTTCATTGAGCTGTACAGAGTATCAACAGTTTTATCAAGTTGGTAAAGCTGCTGATTGTTTGATTTTTGCAGAGGGCTAAGTGTTTGCATAAGGGTGTGTGCTGTTTTAGACCCTGAACTCAACTTGCATTTGTGAAGGAGCCTACTCCAGTGGGAACCGTACGTGCCCCGTTCGCAGGGGTCCCTCATCCCAACACTAGTGCTCCACTTCAGCAATGCAGTCAATCGCCCTCTCTTCAGCGGGAAGTCGTCCTCGATATCCAGCCACCCGTCCACCGCACAGTGGAAACACCAATCGCCAGTCGCCCCCAGTACACAATCTCCACTGACACACTATTCTTCCATGTTCAGAGGTCTCTTCCAAGCAAACTTCACAAAATAGATAACTCCACCCCACATAAAAACAATTAGAATAGTGTACAATCATTTTCTGACATTCAGGCAGTTCTGGACGGACACTTCAATCATCTCTTACATTTATTGAAAGTATGTTTTTTTACATGCAAGGGGTATGCAAAACATAAATCGCCGTCGCCCCTGCCTTCACCTCTTGCCCTGCGCATCAACCTTTCCCCACCCCACCCCATCTGTGATTCCGCGCGGAGCCGAGTAAGCGGACTGACGGGGCCCGGGGGTTTGCCCTCTGCACTGCACTGTGCTCCACGCAACAAGCAGGCCTCCCCCTGCCCGTCCCTCCCCTCCCAAACCAACCAACCCCCAGTTCCCGTCAAACTGCTGCTGGGGTTGAGGGGCTGCGTGCCACTGTGCTTCCTTGTGTGCGGCGCCATTCAGCCTGTTTGTATTTCTGTTTGTGGGCATCTTCTGTTCAGCTACGCTTCACACACTTCCAAGCAACACTACATTTGAGCCCAACCGAGCAACACGGCGACAAACATATCCCACCCACACCCTGCAAATACCTGCTCCACGCTCGTCTCTTCGTGCATGACCAAGCACACCCTTTCCTCTGTTCATCATTGTAGCACTCCCATCTAAAGCTCAAATCCGACAGCAGCAGCAGCAGGTGTTCCTCGTGTTCCTTCCACACTCTTCGCTGCGCTTCACTTGACCTGTAAGCTCCAGTTGCGCTGTTTCTTGAAGATAATATTATTTTGTGGAATTATTTCTGATCTTTTTTGTTGCTCCATTACTGTCTCCTGCCTTTCAGGTTACACTCTCCAGCGTTCCGCCACTTCCGGTTCTTATCGCAAGTGTCGTCGACGCCTAACGCTTTTCGGCGCCGGGCTCCGCTTGCTGCAGATCTGGCGTCTCTCGCGCTTCCGGAAGCAGCGTCGTCGATTTTCCGCTCGTCGGAAGTTGCACCGCTTGCACCCGCACTTGGCGGCGGCATTTCAGATTCCCGCGGGGGTTTGACCCCCAGCCTTTTCCCCGCGTCTTCCGCCGCTGCGCCGATGGACTTCCGCGGGCAGTCGGAGACGGGAGGGTCGGGCGGAGGCGATGGTGCGCGGTCGGCTCTTCCGCTGCTCAACTTCGGCATGGGGTCGTCGGGGCTCATGGCGTCGTCCGACCTCATGGGCTCGCTGGGCGGCGCTGGCGGCGACGCGTCGCTCAGCATGATGGTCGGCCACGCCGCTTTTCAACCGCAGCCCGCTGGTAACCTGCCGCCGCTCAACACGCCGCAGCAGCAGCAACAGCAACAGCAGCAGCAGCAGCAACAACAGTACCAGCAGCCGCAGTATCAGCAACAGCTTCAGCAGCAGCAGCAGCAGCAGCAGCAGCAGCAGCAGCAGCAGAGGTCGCTCCAGCTGTCGGCGGCGTCTGTCGCGTCGCTCCTCGGCACCACCGCGTCCGCCGCCATGCCCAATCTCGTCGGAGCGCCCCCCCCGGGGCTGCTGGGCGTGGGGCCGGGGAAAGGGTCCGGCGGCGGAGCGACGGCGGAGGAGCGGCGCAATGTCGACTCGTTCTCGCTCGTTCCGACCGCCCCCGCGCGCAGCCCGCCACTCATGGCCTCCACCGGCAACGCGCCTGACGGCGGCGCTGGCCAAGCAAACCAAGCAACGGGCGGTGTCACGCCGAAGGCGGAGAATGGCGCAGGCGGCGCGGGAAGCGCTGGGATGGTGGCGCGCAGCGATGGCAGCGATGGGGAGCAGGGCGGGGGAAGCGGGCGCGACGAGCAGGAGCAGGGCGGCGATGACGGCGCGGACGACGGCATGGGAATGGACGGCGCGGGCCGGCCGGTGGGCATGCGGAGCGGGGGGCGCGTGGGGTCGAGCCGGTACGAGTCGCAGAAGCGGCGAGACTGGAACACGTTCGGGCAGTACCTGAAGAACCACCGGCCGCCCGTGGCGATGTCGCGGTGCAGCCCGCAGCACGTGGTGGAGTTCCTGCGCTACCTCGACCAGTTCGGCAAAACCAAGGTGCATGCAGACGCGTGTCACTTCTACGGTCTCAGCGGCCCGCACCCGTGCGCGTGCCCCATGAAGCAGGCGTGGGGCAGCCTCGACTCGCTCATTGGCCGCCTGCGCGCCGCGTACGAGGAGAACGGCGGCAAGCCCGAGAACAACCCCTTCGCCGCGCGCATCGTGCGCGTGTACCTGCGCGACACGCGCGAGCAGCAGGGCAAGGCGCGCGGCATGTCGTACGAGAAGAAGAAGCGCAAGCGCCAGGGCGCGCAGCCGCAGGCGCCGCCCCCCAGTCAGCCGCAGGCGATGCATGGCGGAGCGGGGGACGGCGGAAGGGGCGGGGATGGCCGCAGCAGCAGCAAGGACCAGGTGGGGACGTTCTCCCCGCCCGCCGTGGAAAGCGGCGTGAGGCACGGCCAGAACGACGCCACCGTCGGCGGCAGAGGCGGCGCGGGCATCGGGGGAGGATTGGGCGCGGGGAGCCTGCAGGAGCAGCGCGGACTGGGGCACCTGTTGGGGGCCGGGGGGAACGCGCTGATGCCCATGGGGGGAGGGCAGGGCGCACCCGGCAGCATTCAGCAGACCCAGCAGCCATCCTCGCTGCTATCACTCCCGTTACAGAGCCAGCAGCAGCAGCAGCAGCAGCAGCAGCAGCAGCAGCAGCGCATGGGGGAGACTCATCAGGGGGCGGGGCAGCAGCAGCAGGGGGGCCAGGGGCTGCTGGAGCAGTTCAACGCGACGCTGCGCAACCAGCTGGCGCTGCAGCACGCGCTGCAGGGGCAGGCGCCCAACGCTCTGGGCGAGCTCAGCGGCGCGTCGCTGCTGGAGCTGGTGCAGCTCGTGGGGGGAGGCGGGCAGCCGCCCCCGCTGCAGCAGCAACAGCAACAGCAACGGCAGCAGCAACAGCAACAGCAGCAGCAGCCACAGATGATGCAACATCAGCAACAACAATCTCTGCAACAGCAGCAGCAGCAACAGCAGCAACAGCAACAGCAGCAGGGCGGGCTGAGTCAGGTGTTGAGTCGGCTGCTGATGGGGCAGGGCGCGGGAGCCCCTGGTGCCACGGACCTGCTGGGGCAGGTGGCGGGGCTGCAGTCTCTGCCGCCCGAAGCCAACCTGCTGGGCCAGCTGCTGCTCTCCCAGGCACTGGGCGGTGGGGGCGGCATGCCCAATGGGAAGCCGTTGGGCGGCGGGACGATGGGGGGGATGGGCAGCAGCAATGGTGGAGTGGGGCTGCAGAACGGCAGTGGTGGGCGAGGGGGCATGAGTGGAGGCACGGACTAGCGTGCACTCATGCACTCCAGGCGCCCTGCCCTGCCCTGCATCGCATGCCATGCCACTGTTTCAAAGCACCTTATTCCGCCTTGCTGCCGTGCCCGGTGGGGCCTATCTCATAGCTTTGCCCCCCCTCGCGTGGCAACACTGGCCTACATTTTGTGGTGCTCCCTCCAACCTCATCTCTTGCTCGCTGCATTGATTTAACAGCTTAGGCTGCTGTAGCTATTATTGGTAGCTCTATTGCTCTTGGTTTTCTTTTTTTTTTGTAGCATCCAATTGGACTCTGTTTTTAGAACCTTGGAATAGGTCGCACATTATAAGCTTACTAAATTACATTGCCAAGATAATGCAAGCTGAGTACCTAAATTATTCCTTTTGTAAAACAGTCCGATCAGACAAGTTATGACCCTCAAGCGCATCTCACACAATGCGAGCCCACCTTATCAGCCGCAAGTGACTCAGGCAGAGATCCCACAGCCTGCCTCTTCTCATGCTCGTCAGCTCGCGCCGCACACCCATGGCTCCCTTTCGCCGCATCACTCGCTCCGTGTTTCCGCCGCGTGCACTGCTGCTGGCGCTCGCGATTCTGGCAGTCGGCGCGCACAGCAAGCGCGTGAAGCGGCGGCAGCAGCCGGCGGCGAGCGCGCCTGGCGACGAGGGACCGGTGGAGTCGTCCGTCTTCGCGCGCCGCCTCGTTACCGCCGACGTGTCGTATCGCGACATTCTCAAGGTCGAGTGCTTTTTGCACCGTCAGACCTCGTTGTTTCCCTCTGCCGCTCTTCCCCCTCCCCTCGCATTCCCGCTGGTCTCAAACCCCCATGCTTGTGTCCCCTCGTGCCATGGCATGCGTGGCGCGCAGGAGCACGCGCGGTACTGGAAGGACACGGCGCACCGCCACTTTAACGGCACCGTGCTCGCTTACGTCACTCCCTGGTCCGTCGCTCACCTCCCTGGTCCGTCGCTCACCTCCCTGGTCCGTCGCTCACCTCCCTGTTTAGTCACAGACCTCGCTGGTCAGTCTCACATCTCCCTGCCATACACCCGCTGCCAGTGACTGCCCGCCATACCACAAGATGGCGCATGCCATGCCATGCCATGGCGTGCAGGGCGGTCCCAAAGAGCGTCATGCAATGCGGCTCAATGCCATCCACTGCCGTCGTGCGCTGTGCCCTGTGCGTGCATGGCATGGGCCCCCATCAGGAACGGAGGAGGCTACGACAGGGCACGGCAGTTCCGCCACAAGTTCACGCACATCTCGCCCGTCTGGTTCCAACTCAAACGGTCAGCACGCTGCCATGCTGCCATGCCATGCCTTACCCTTCCGGTTTATCATGCCATGCCATCATGCCAAGAGCCGCCACTTGCTCGCCACCTGTGGCGCCCTCCCCCTCACCGCACCCTTCCATCGTGTCCCTTCCTCCTATCATCTCCCCTCTCTCTCGCCCAACCGTCCGGTCACTGCCACTGGCACCACAGAGTAGGCGGGCAGCTGCAGGTGGCGGGCGGCCATGACGTGGACGTGCCGTGGATGGACTCCGTGCGCCAGGACGGCGCCCAGGTGGTGCCACGTGTGCTGCTGGAGGCGCATGACACGTCAGGCATCGTCAGCTCTGACGAGGACGCATCTGAAGCCATCAGACTCATCCTTGACACCTGCAGGTGGCTGCGCCATGCCTCGCATGTTACACGCCCTCTTTCCTCCACTCCCCTGCCATTCCTCCTTGCGACCGCACTCTCCTCTCCGCTCCTCTCTCCTTCCTCCTCCGTCCTCTTGTGCCAAGCCAAAACCCCCTTTTCAACAAAGCCTCCTCCCATGTCTCCCCATCCCCCCATGTCCGCACAGGCAGCACCACGTGGACGGCATAGTGCTGGAGGCGTGGTCCACATGGACCGCCACAGGGCTGCTCGCCTCGCCCCCTCTGCGCGCCCGCGCCCTCGCCTTCCTCTCCCGCCTCGGCTCCGCTCTGCACGCCACGCCCAACCCCGCCTCCCCCACCGCACACCTCTCCTTCTTCCTCGTCATTCCCCCCAACGCCGCCGCCGCTCTCCTGCCCGAGCAGCAGCGCACCCTCCCTCCGCACGCGTTCACGGCAGGGGATCTATCGGCGCTGCACAGGCACGTGGACGGGTTCTCCCTCATGACCTACGACTTCTCCCCGCCCTCGCACCCCGGCCCCACCGCCCCCCTGCCGTGGGTGCGGCTGTGCCTGCAGGCGCTGCTGCCGGGGGTGGCGCCGCGGTATGCAGGGGCGTATGGTGAGGACCTGGGCGTGGGCGAGGAGGAGTGGCGGGAGGAGCTAAGGCGAGGCCGCGAGCTGAGGAGTTTTGTGGGGGATGAGGATGGAGAAGAGGAGGAGGGGGAGGAGGGTGGGGTGGGAGGAGGAGATGCAAGGGTGATAGCGCGCAAGGTGTTGGTGGGACTCAACTTCTATGGCTATGAGTACGGGCCCAATGAAGGTCAGTCCACCGCACTGCCCTGCAACACACTGTGAATTGATTGATTGCCCTACTGTTATGCAGTTTCCGCTGGATTCCAGGCCTCCTTGCCCCTCGTTGCTCCAACGCTTCGACACCTTCTCCAGCGTTCACATTCCACTACCTCCCACCATGCCTTCCCCCCCCCTCTTTCCCCCTTTCTACCCCCCCACTCTCCCCCCCACTCTCCTCCCCCTCTCCCCCCCCTCACCGCACCAGACTACCGCCCACTGCTGGGCAGGGACGTGGTGGAGGTGCTGCAGCGCTACGAGCCGCGCGTGGCGTGGGACCCCGATGCAAGCGAGCACGCCGTGTCCTTCGCTGCTCGCCCCTCGGGCATCCGCCGCGCCGCCTTCTTCCCCTCGCTGCTCTCCCTCGCGCTGCGCATGCGCGAGGCCAGTGCGTGGGGCGCGGGGCTGTCGGTGTGGGAGATCGGGCAGGGCCTCGACTATTTCTTCGACCTGCTGTAGCGCTTGTAGGTTTTCTACGCGCGGGCGTAGCGGAGATTTCTTCTGCCCTGCTGTAATAGGGCACAAGTGGAGGGAGGCACAAGTGACAACATGCTGCTGTCTTTGGTTCCGAGAGTTTTAGCTGATGCTACAAGGTGAGCTAATTCCATGTTTCAATTGAGAGTTATGGAACACACACGCACATCAGAACGAGGTGTATATCAATGATAGTATATACAGAAATTACACACAGTTCTGGATCAGCATATACAGGTAAGCAGAATGACTGTACAAGCATTAACTAGTGCACAACCACTGCCTCGAGCAAGCCCTTTCCATTGAGTGAGTCTACTCACGCACCACCTTGTCCTCTGTGACCACTATCACACGTGGCCCCTCCACGCCCTCCATGTCCCCTGCCGGCACACCTGCAGCGCCAGCGATGCCTGCAATGTCCTCCCCCCCCATGCGCATTGCCTCTACCACGTCCACCCGCCGCGATATCACATCCTCCGCCCCCTTCCCCTCAGTTCCCATTCCCCCAATTCCCCCCTCTGCCCGCACCTGCTGCGCATGCCCCTGCACCGCCTCCCCCACGGCATGGGGGGCGCCCCTGACAGAGTCCACCAGCGACTGCACTCCACCCCCCACCGCCCCCGCCACCCCCCCCAGCACGCTCTGCACGCCCCCCGCCACAGTCAGCCCCAGCCCGCCTATGGCCTGCCCCACTCCCTCCACTGTGTCGTATGCCCCTCCGCCCACTGCAGACGCTGCTGTGCCCACCGCATGTGCTGCCCCCCCCACCACGCCCTTGGCTGCCTCTGCTGTGCCCACACCCGCTGCCCCCACTGCATCCCCCACCTCCCGCCTTCCCTCCACTGCTGCGCGCCCTGCTGCCTCCCCCGCGCCCTGCACCACCCCCGCTGCCGTGCCCACCCCCCTCGCTGCTCCCTCTGCTGCCACCTGCGCTCCTTGCTGCCACACCATGGGAGCAGGGGGGAGGGCAGAGGAGGGCAAGCGAAACGATTAGACGAGGTAAGGGACGGAGGCTTTGGAGCATATGAGGCACGCGGAGTGGTGCATGCAGAGGGAGAGGGGAGAGGTAGGACTGGAAGCAATGGAAGCAGAGGCCGGGCCGGGGTGCAGAGGAAGCACACAGCACATACCTTCACCTGCTGCCCCACATCGCTTGCCACATGGCTGCCCACATCAGCAGCGCCCTGCACCGCCCCATATACCCCCAATGCCCCCCGTGCGCCCATCTTCACCCCCTCACTCGCTGCCTCGCTCGCCATCTCCCCCACGGCCTGTGCCGTCCCTCCCACCGCCCCCACGCCCCTTGCAGCACTGCCTATGGCCTGCTTGCCCACCTCCCTGCCCTCCTCTCCCAGTGCCTGCACCGTGCCCGCCACAGTGCCTGCCCCCCTCGCTGCACTCCCCACTGCCTGCTTTCCCACCTCCTTGCCCTCCTCTCCCAACGCCTGCACTGTCCCTGCCACTGTCCCCGCACCCCTCGCTGCCGCCTGACTACCCTCCCTGGCCGCCTTGCCTGCCTCCTCGCCCACACCCCTCGCCACACCCGCCACACTCCCTGCCCCGCGGGCAGCAGCCTTGCTGCCCTCCCTCGCCGCGTGCCCCGCCTCCTCTGCTGCGCCCTGCACCACCCCTGCAGCCGTCCCTGCCCCCCTGGCTGCCCCCTCCACGCCCCTCTTCCCTGCAGCCCCCCCCTCCTCCGCCAGCCCCTGCACCGTCCCCGCCACCGTCCCCGCCCCACGTGCAGCTGCCCCAGCGCCCTGCTTTGCTGCTCGTCCTGCCTCCTCCCCAGCCCCCCTCGCCACGCCTGCCGCAGTGCCAGCCCCCCTGGCAGCCGCATCAGAGGCCGTGTATGGTGCCTCCTTGCTCTGCTCATAGCCCTTGCCAGCGGGCACCCCTGCAGAGGCACGGGTGTGGGACGCACCCTCCCTCGCAGCCTGCGCTGACTCGTCCGTGGCCGTGTGCGGGCCCCCCAGCAGCGCCTCCCCAGCGTGTCCCATCTTCTCACGAATGCCCGCCAGCATGCCTGTCAGCCCCGACCGTGCCTCCTGTGCCGCCTCTGCGCCCTGCTGCTGGGCTGCGTGCTGCTGGGCGGTCAAAGAGGCCTCAGAGGCTGCCTCATGACGGTGTTGCTTGCCCGTGCCATGTGATGCCTGTAACCTGCTCCCATTGCACGCACCCATAAGGCAGGAGACAGCCAATACATAACTGTGCATCTCAAAATCGCTTTGCGCACATGTCTTGTACATGTCTGCAACAGCCTACGTGCAATGTTGCAAAACCCGAACCATGTATAATGTGCAGATCCTTTAGTGCTTGAAATATACCATCTGGCATGTCATGGATCTACGGGACATCAATGTGGAAGTGCTTTAGAACAAATGGAGGAGGTCGCACAGGACCTGGCTAGGAGACTCACTTGTGTGTTGCCTCGCGCATGCCTTCCTCGCGCCCCGCTTGCCTCTGCTGCCCCTCCCGTGCCGCCTGCTCCTCCGGCTTGATGCACTCGTAGTGCCCCGTCGGCGCCTCCACCTGCACCTGATGGGTGGACATGGGAGAGAGAGGCGTGAGAGAAGGGATGCCAGGGGACCAGCTGGGAGAAGGGCAAATAGCCATGCGGCCTGCAAGTACCTTGGGTTTGGATTCTTGACGCGAAGCCATGTCCACGGATGTTGAGGGGGTTCGCGATTGATTCGACAGGCGCGTGCGTCACTGACTCGCGGAGCAGACGCACTGAGACTGGGATCAAGAATGCTCGTCCAGCAGCTGTGGAGCGAACTAGGTTTGAGACGGAATGAAGGGAATTCACTGCTATTGCACGCAACTAAGGAATTTTGTAGGATTCCTTGTGTGAGAGAGGCATGAATTCCCTCGATGCCTGGCGGTTCGCGCGCTGGCGCCTCGAAGGGATTTGCAAATGTCAGCCGGACGCGTGTGCGAAATGCACGACTTCCAATGCGATTGAGCTCGGCTGCTCTCTTTGAGCCGAAAATCATTTACACATTTGGGACCTCGCATGATTGGTGTATGGTGGAAGTTGTAAGCAAACTATTTCTCGAAACAAAAACTTTATTGAGAACAAAATGCTTGATTAGTAACAATAATTTCTGTGTCAGTAGTGTGCATATCAGCAGTTAGTTGTCAAGGCCTGCTTTACTCTAGACCGATACAGCCGTCTTCTCGGCCTCCTTGCAGCACCGCTGCTCCCTGCACTGTCCATGAGGTGAGGCGCCATACAGCCTCCCACTGCTGTCAGTGAATTGCTGTCCATGGAGCATGATTCAGAGGCTTCTTGCACTGCGGAGGAAATCAAGTGAGCTGTGGACTGAAGTGAAGATGATGGCGATGCGGCATGGAAGGAGGGGCAGGCAGGCATGGTGGTGGAAGCACAGGCGGAAGAGGCACACGCCAGGGGCGCCAGCACGTCCCCCACAGCCGCACTTGCCGCATCCCTCGCCGCCTTGGCTGCGGACGCCGCTGCCGGCATGTGGGCAGTGAGCCAGGGGTGGGAGAGCAGGTCGCAGGCAGAGGGGCGAGCAGCGGGGTCCACAGACAGCAGCGCGCGCACCAGCTGCTTTGCCTCGTCTGACACGCCCTCCCACGCCTCGCCCGTGAGGTCGGGGTGACCGCGGCAGATGGCGAGGAAGACGTGGGGCAGGTCGGGGCCGTAGAAGGGCACGTACCCCGCCAGCATCACGTACAGCACCACGCCCACACTCCACATGTCCGCCGCACTGTTGTACTCGCGCCCACACACCACCTCGGGCGCCATGTACAGTGATGATCCCGCCAGCCCGCGCGCCCTGCCCCCCGCGCCCACCGCCACTGCCTGCCCAAAGTCCGCCAGCTTCACGCTCACGTGCGCCAGCGCGGCCTCCGCGCTGCGCGCGTCCGCGAGCAGCGGCGCGGCGGAGAGACCCGCGAGGAGGAGGTTCTCGGGCTTCACGTCCAGGTGCAGCACGCCGTGCGCGTGGCACCACGCCACCGCGCTCGCCGCCTGCGCCAGCACCGCCGCCGCGCAGCGCTCGGGCAGGCGGCCGGCGCGCGCGACGAGGTCGAACAGATCGCCGCCGTCGCAGAGGTCCATGACGAGGTGCACGCGCCGCGCGTCCTCGTGCACGCTCGCGAGGCGCACGACGTGCGGGTGCGGCGGCAGCGCCGCCATGCATAGCAGCTCCATCTCGAGATCACCGCGCCGCTCCCCGCACAGGCGCGCCTTCTCCACCGACTTGCACGCCAGCAGCTGCCCGCTGCGGCGCGCCATGCACGCGCGCACCACGCCGAACTCCCCGCGCCCCATCTCCTCCTGCGCCACCGCGTATTCCGCCTCCAGCGGCGCCGTCGCGAACGGCAGCAAACGGTCGCCGGCGAGAAGGGCGTCACTTAGAGTGTCTGTCGACGGCCTGAGCGCGGGTTGCGGAGAATGGTCGATGGCGCACGGAATTGCGGTGCCCGCGATGCCCGCCGGCCTCACGGCGGTGCCGCAATGCTCCCAAAGCTCTCTTCTGACTGCTGCGGCGCACTGTGTCGCCATGGCTTCAGCTGCGTCGTCGATGCGTGACGGTACTACGTAGATGTGATTGTGGGGAGTGGATGCAAGGTAGGAGGTGAACGCATGATCCCGAGGTGGCTCGTGCGAGTGCAGCAGCGGGATGGCGAGCAGCTATATTCTCGCCCACCGACTGGCCACTGGCGGCAGCAGCAAGCGCAGGTCGAGCCGGCGCCCATTCAGCAGAGCTGGCAGCCTCCGCGGCCGACGCTGCTCCCCACGCGCTGCGCCGTGCGCGCTACAGCGCCTTTCGCCCTACCCGGCCTAGCCTCTACCCCCTTCCACGTGCACGAGCTCGTTTCTCCCTGTCCCGCGTCAGTCCGCGAGGAGCAGCGACGCTCGCACGGCCAAACCGATTCTCCAACCATTAACAGAGATACATGTGTGCTGCCGTGACCCGCCATGGCACGCGCCGGTCGTTGCTCTCAGCGGCGACGGGTCGGCTTCGAGCAACGCGCAGTAAGCAATCATTGGCGCGGCGCGGGCCTGCCACTCACCCGCTCTTGCCCGGTCGTGCATTGGCGGGCGCGTGGGGAACATCATTGATCGATCGGCGGCGGTTATGACGCCATCCCTGTGGCACGGCAACAGAGCAGAACAGAACAGATGTGTCGTCGCGAAAACGAAGGGGTGCCGATTTTTGCAATCATCGTGGCGAGGGGAGGGGAACGGAGCCCAGGCGGGGAATGAGGGCGAACGGGCGCACGCGCAGCAGGCAGAGGCGCAAAGACGCCCTCGCCCGGACCGGTCCGGGGGGGGGGGGGGAGGGAGGGAGGCAACTCGCGGCAGATGTCGTTCTTCCGTTGTGCTGCCAACGTACGAAGCGAGAAGATGAAACGAAACGCGCTGACTGTAGCTGACCACCACAAAGCAAGCACTAGCTTGTACTGTACCCCTGGCCTGAAGCCTGCTTGCATTGCATTGCACCCACCACCACCAATTCTGCTCGCACACGTTCCCACAATCCCCCCGGGAACACGACACGGAGAGGTGCAGGTTTGGCAGTGGTTTGGTGCCAGCTGTGTCGAATGTGGTTTGCCCAGAAGTCCACGACTCCACGAGCGAACGCGTAACAGTTCGCCTACCTTCGCACCAGACTACGGTATTGGCAAATGGTGGCTGACTAGGGTTCCTCAAATCTTTTGACCAACCTAGTCCCAGCACCTACAGAACCGTACGCATGCGAAACGGTACCCCCGCCAGGTCACGTGACAGTGAGAAGGGAGGAAACGGAAGCAGATGTGATGCACCGACCATCTGAGCTGAATCATTCGCGACGTCGTGATTTGGAAGTGTAGACGCTTGTTACAAAGATGGTTCACATTGAGGGATACAATGCTAAGACAAAAAGAAAATCGATTTGAATAAAGGCCCCAGCGCCCATCGCGGATTTGTGACTATCCCGCGATGAAGGAATCCACAACTGATGCCGCACCACGTGTGCAGATCTACCCCCAGCACACCGACTGCGTCTCGGATTTCATGCGAGGTGCGCGAATGTCGTTGTTTCCGTACTTGCTGACGTGTCTGACCCGTTGCTCACGCATGCCAGCTGGATCCATGTGAATGTCAGGGTTCCAGGGTTCGGGTTTCGGGTTTTGGAGTAGGGCGGGACGAACGCGCTTGACGCTGACTTTGAGGGTTCATTGCCTGCGGGGCCAGCTGGGGGGCGGGGGCAGTGGGGGAGGGGGAAAGTAGTGGAGGCACGATAGTACGGGGGGGGCGGGGACGCAGAAAGGGGGGACGTAGTGACGGGGTTGGGGGCGGGTGAGGGGGCGCAGTTGTAGCGCGGGAGGCGCGGAGTTGCGGGTTGGTGTGTTGGTGCCCCACCCACCCTCTCGAGCACCCGCTCCTCCCCCCTCGCCTCTCATCTCTCGTCTCTGCCTGTGCGCATGCGTGCGTGGGTGCCTGCGTGCATGCGCGAATGTGTGCATGCGTGCATGTGGTGCCATGGTCTGGCCAAGGCAGGCAAGTAAGAGAGGGAGGCGCGGCGCTACTGGGATCTCTTCTACAAGCGCAACGGCGAGCGGGTGAGCGCGTGCCACGTGGCACACAGCCACACCCGCTGCCGCCACCACTGTGCTCGCCTCGTGTCGCTGCAGCACTGCATCCTTCCCCCCCTCCTCACTGCCTCCCCCCCCATTGCCAAAGCCCCCTCGCTCCCTACTTTGCGTTGCTCACTCCGTTTTGTCCTTTCCTCCTTGCCCCCGGATCATCCCGCCCTCTCCTCTCCCGGACCCCCTCATCCCCCCCTCCCCCCGTGCCCCGCGCCAGTTCTTCAAGGACCGCCACTACCTGCACCACGAGTGGGCGCTCTTCCTCCGCGGGGAGGCGCGCGCGGGGGGAGCGGCGGAGGCGGGGGCAGAGGGGGGGACAGAGGGGAGGGCAGAGGGAGGGGGAGGGTTGGCTAGGGACGGGGATGCAGGCGCAGGAGCGGGGAGCGCAGGAGGCGGTGGTGGGTGTGGTGGCAGCAGGGGGGGGTGTGTGTGCGAGCGGTGCGTTGCCATCAGACGAGTGGTGCTGGAGGTGAGATGAGTGGTGTTGAGTGGGAGAGGGGGGTGGGGCGTGGGTCGTGCATGGCGAGGGGAGGGGGGCGTGCAGGGTGCAGGGTGCTTCAGCCTCCCCCCATTCTCCTGTGCATTGCTGCCCTTTCACCTTCCCGCGCCACTCCTCTCTCCTCACCTCACTGCCAATGCACCCCCTACCCTTCACCCAACGCCCCCTCATCTCCCTGTGCTCCCCCCATCCCCCCAGTGCTCCCGGATTCCCCCTGTATTTCCCCAATCCTCCCCCCATGTTCCCCTGTTCCCCCTGTCCTTCCCCCATCCCCCCTGTGCCCGCGTGGAGGCCAGGTGGGGTGCGGGGCGGGAAACACGGTGTTCCCGCTGCTCGCCGACGACCCGCACCTCTTCGCCCTCGCCTGCGACTTCTCCCCTCGCGCTGTTGCGCTCGTCACCGTGCGTTGAGGGGTTGAGATGGGTGTACATGGTTGGGGGAGGGGTGCAGCGGATGGTGGGAAGGGGGAGGTGTGCGGACAGGGAGGTGTGTGCGTGTGGTGGCTTGCGTGTTGCTTTGCTGCTGGCTCACATGCTGTGTGCTCTGATGACAGCACCCTCACGGCCAGCCTCTCTGTGTCAGTCCCTCTCTCTCCCTCTGCATGTGTGTGTGCGCGTGCGCACGTGCATGTATGTGTCTCTCCCTCTGCATGTGTGCTGGCATGGTGGTGGGCAGGGCAGTGAGCACTACGACCCACACAGGCTGAGGGCATTCGTGGCGGACATCACAGCTGACCCCCTCGCCACTGCCGTCACCACCGCCACCACCAGCAGTAGCAGCAGCAGCAATGGTGGTGGCGGCAGCAGTAGCAGCAGCAGTGATGGCGGTGGTGGGGGGAGATGCACGAGCTGCCTGCCGCAGTGTCCAGCAGTGTGCCCTCCATCTCACGTGGATGTGGTTACCATGGTGGGTGGCATGTGGTTACCATGGTGGGTGGCATGTGGTTACCATGGTGGGTGGCATGTGGTTACCATGGTGGGTGGCATGTCAATGCCGTGCAAGACTCCTCCCATCATGCCATGGCATGGCATCACACCACCTTCCATCACCTCACCTTAACCTCCCTGCTTCCCACCGCCACCCCACGCTCCGAACCCCCATGCGCAGGTGTTTGTGCTATCTGCCATTTCACCTGAGAAGATGCCTCTCGCCGTCGCCAACGTCGCCACTGTGCTCTCATTTGCTCGCACCCACCATGTGCCCCGTCCCACCACATCCCATGGCGTGGCGTGGCGTGGCATGACATGCAGCCAGGCGGGCATGTGTTGGTTAGAGACTATGCTGCTGGCGACCTTGCTCAGGTGGGTGGCTCAGGTGTGTTGTTCAGGTGTGACGTTCAGGTGTGTTGTTCAGGTGTGTTGCTCAGGTGCCCCGCATAGTCAAAGGTCAGAAACTCCATGGCAATGTTTATTGTCTCTTCGTCCCCATGTCGTGCGACCATCCTCTGCAACCCTCGATCCCCCTCCCTCCATCCTCCCAGCCACGCCACCGTGCCGTGCCATCAGGAGCGGTTGAGGCGCAAGGAGCAGCGCATCGCCGACAACTTCTATGTGCGCGGGGATGGCACCGTGAGTGAAGAGGGAAGCCGATGGCGTGGTGGGTGGGGGGGATGGCATGATGAGGGGGGAGAATGGTCAGCTGATGCAGTCAAGGCGACGCTATGCCACAGTGCCTGTGGATTCATTCATCTCTCCATGCCTCTCCCATCCGCCCCTGCCTCTCTTCCCCCCTTCTCCCCCTGCGCCCCATGCCCCCCTGCGCCCTGCGCCCCATGTCCTTCCCCCCCCCCCCGGCCACAACAGCGAGCGTACTACTTCACGGAGGGGGCGCTGGGAGAGCTGTTTGCGGGGGCGGGCATGCAGTGCGTGCACATGGGCGTGTGTGAACGCACCGTCACCAACCGTGCACGACAGATCGACATGCACAGGTGCTGCTGACATGCACAGGTGCTTCGTTTGACTTGTTCATTTTTCTGCACACAACTACCCACCGCTCGTCTGCTCTGTGGAAACGTCCCCATTGCCCACACACCCATTGCAACTGCGCCCCACTGCTCTCCCCTATGCTCCCTCCTCCTGCCCACCCCTTTGTGAGATGACCAGACGGTGGATCCAAGCAGTCTTCCGCCTCCCCCTCGCTGCTACTGCCGCTCCTGCTGCTCCTTGTGATGCGGCTGCCACTGCTTCGGAGGATGTTGAGGCAAGGGGGACGAATGGCAGGGAAGGCGGGGAGGAGGAGAGAAGAGGAAGTGGGAGCAGTGTTGTGCGAGGGGACGGCAATGGCAGGGAAGGCGCACGCACGGAGGAGGGTGGCACAGAGGAGGGCGGCAGGGGCGGCAGTGACAGTGCATGTGAGGTGGACTGCAGCAGCCTCTTTATCTCCGACCCTCCCCTAGAGGTGCTCCTTTCTCCCTCCCCTCTCTTCTTCGCCCTTGTCGCCCCTGTCCCCATCCCTTCTCTCCTCTCCACCTTATCTATTCCCACCACCTCATCCACCCTCCCAAGCATCTCTTTCCCCCCACCCATTGCTCCCCCAGGACCACGCCCTGTCCCTAGCACACCTGCCGCTGCGCGTGCGCCTGCTATCGCGGGAGCACCAGCACGTGCACGGCAGCACGGGACGCCTGCTGTGGGAGTCCTCGCAGGTGCTGGCGGCGCTGCTGCTCGCCCACCCCGCCCTCACCCGCCACGCCACCGTCCTCGAGCTCGGCGCGGGCGGCGCTGCGCTCTGCTCGCTTGCAGCCACTCAGGCGCGCCACGTGTCATTGTGGCGACGGATGGGGACGAGAGTGCTCTGAGCCTGCTGCCGGGGAATCTGGAGCTGAATGCGGGGAGCTTTGAGACGGGCAGGATCAAGGTGTGCCGGCTGCGATGGGGCAATGAGGGCGACGAGGCAGCAGTGAGGCAGCTGCTTCCCTCTGATGATGTGGTTGGGGCGGAACAGGGTCGAGTGCAGGAGGAGAGAGGGAGCAGCACAGCCGGTACAGAAGGGAGCGACGCGCGCACAGCCCCTGTGGGAGGCAGCAGTATGAAGGGAGACGATACCGAGGCTGCTTATACCACACCGCAGCAGGGGAGGGGGTTTGATGTGATCCTAGGAGCCGATGTGGTGTATGTGCGTGCCGCCGTGCCGCTGCTCTTCCAGTCTGCCGCCCGCCTCCTGGCACGCCGGGACGGGAGCGGGGGGCGTGTGCCGGTGCTGCTGCTGTGCCACATCACACGCCAGGTGCTCGAGCCCAAGGTGCTGGCAGCAGCGGCAGCAGCGGGGTTAGAGGTGGCGGAGGGAGAGGTGGCAGAGCGGGTAGGGGGAAGTGTGGAGCGGGCGATGCAGGCAGCGTTGGGGACGGTGTTTCCTGGTGAAGGCAGAGATGCCTCCCTCTTCCGCCTCCTCTGCTTCCGTGCCTCCAGATTGCCTTAGGGTGTCACAGCAGCGTTGCAGGCCTTTGGGTGTATGGTGTTACTTTGTTATAAGCATCTGGAAGCCATCAACTCAATCTAATTGACACCATAACCCAGGCTTTTGATCAGACCAATGAAGCGGCCGCATTGACGCTTTGTGGAGGTGTTGGAGAGCAGCAGAGAAGGAAGGCGGAAGGCGGAAGAGGAGAGCCATGGATGCAAGATATCGTATGCAAAGCGTTTGTATTGATAGCAATCACATTGCATTGTCAGAAGCAGGTACTGGTATGTACTGTGCGAATTTCCGCACAAATCGTATGGTTGCAGGCACGCCTTTTAACGGCGTGTGCGCGATCACCTACTATACTATAATACATAAGTATGGCGATTACTGGCCGCAGCCAGTTCAGAATGAGCGAATTGCCTTCTTGTCCCGTTCACTATCAGGCAGCATGAGCAATACTGCCTCGTGTCGTTAATCACTCGCCATCTCTCTTTCAGCCACGTGACGCTCGCGCGATCAGCCGAAGAATCCTCTCAACCGCTTCGACAAGGTTTGCGACACGGCGTCCAGAATGGTTGGCGCTGCGGTGACCGCCATTGTCTTAGATTCCGCCTCGCGCGTGACGGAAACGGAAACGTAGTCGTCGTCCTCCGCGCCGCTGAAGTCCTCCGAGCCGTGCAGATGGTGAAACGCGTTCGCGATGGCTGCGGCGTTAATCTCCTCGTCGTTGGCCGCCTGCTGCGCTTCGAGCTCCGTGAACGTGAACGCGTCGTCCTCGCTGTAAACCACCAGCTCCTGCAGCATGTCCGCCTTGCTTATAGCGCGACTGACGGCAGGCATGCTCAGTAGCGCGATGACGGCGATCAACAATGAGAGCGGGATTCGCGACGAAACCATTGTCGTAATGACTCGTGTCGGCCAGAAATATGAGTATCTCAAGGAAAGGACGGCAGAACTCCGACCGGTCGAAATGGCTTTGTAAGAGAAACTAGCTGGATGAATAATTTGCGTGGCGTAAGACGTTAGTTGATAGCGAACTGACTAAGGAATGCTGGATCGTTCTGTGCTGAACGCTATGGCTATCGCTGTGGAGATTAGCAGTAATGAAGGGGTTGCTTGAATTCGGAACGTCTGACTGAGTTCGCAGCTGGTAAATTTGTAGGAGCCGCGAGAAGCAGGGAGTGGCGTGGCTGGCGGCAGGGGTGGAGCGGGTGGCGCGGAGGTGGAGGCGGATGGAGGGTGTGGGGGATGGGATTGTTGCGATTCACGTGGGGCGGGATGGGATGGGATGGGATGGGATGGGAGGGAGGGACGGAGGCAGCGCCACAAGAGCAACGCGCAGTGGGGCGGAGCGCAGCTCGCCAGGTTTGCGCCCAGACGAGCTTCCTGGCGCTGTGTTTCCCTGCACGCGGTGACCGATTGACGGAGGAATTCCATTGCGATAAACGGCTAAACGACGGTGTGGACGACAACCGTCTGTGCCACGGCTTGGGCGACTACTGGGCTTTGTGAGGCAATCGCATTTCGGTCGTTGACGATTTTTTTTTTTTTTTTTTTTTTTTTTCGGTCGTTGACGATGGGCACAGCAAATTCGGCGAACCACTGAAGAAGGTTCACGCGTTTCATGCGACTGTGCGAGTGATCTACGCGAAACCGAGGCGCAGCAAGAACTGTTTTTTTCGTCAGACTGACAAACAAACTGGCACCGCGGGAGTTGGTAGCTGACCAGCCAACAGAACGCTCCGTCAGCTGACAACTGCACCAGAGCTGAAAACAATACTTATGCTGGTGGCGAAAGCTGCTGGCGCGGATGCACCCCATGCCCACGTTGCAGTGACTCTGATTTGTTTTCCTAACACAAGCGTGGTTCTGCATTACCGGTATAACAAAATATACTCCCCCCAAACATAGCACAAATAAGGTCCAGAAAAGTAAGTACGGTAGATGAATAACTTTCCAGTATCCATATTACAGCATACTCGGTATTTGACACTTACCGCCCTCGTTTTAGAGATTGAAAGCACCCATAAGCTGCTACTGGTATTGTGTGACAGCAGATTGGAGATTAGGGTGCAAACTTGAACATCCAGAGTACAGTATATTACGGGGAAACAGTATATGAAACATCCAAGGTTAAAGTCCTACTTTGCTGAAATTCCTATCCCCAGAATAGCCATTGCCAAACTGGGCTGGGCACTTTGCGATCCTTATTACAGCTAGACACAAAAGCACAATGGCATGTGAGAAACATAGCTAAGGGAATACAAGCTGTGGGAAACCACATAAAGAAGATCAGCCCTGCTATGAAGTCAGTAGTGGAAGGAAACTATGCTAGCTGCAATGTGGTGCGGAATCTGTGTGTCCAAGCCACATCTAGAGTCTCACTGTTGTGCATCTGATAGCTGTTCCTCGTGGACTGCTGATGTCTCAGCTTGGGGCCCAAGCACTACGGGAGCAAGGACACCCCCTGCCTCTTGAGGCGCCGGGCCTCTCTTGTTTCCAAAACCATCAGATTGGCGCCCTCGGGGTGTACTGTTAGCTCTCGTCCTTGCGCGCGTGGACTCAGTGGTCTCCATGAAGTGAGGAACAACACGTGGCGATGCGCTGGCACGTTTGAACGATGCTGATGGCGAGAGAGGTGCATGGGGGCCTGTGTTGGAAGCTGAACGGTTGGCAGATCGACTCAGAGATCTTGACCCAATCACGGCGTCTGCAAGGGGTTGTGGCTCATGCGAAGCTCCAAGGGACAGCCGTGACATCGCAGCTGCTGCGCCACGGTTGCTGCCAGTGGTCGTGGTCACGGGTGGAAGGGCTCCGACCTTGGCGGCCCAGGAAACCGTGGGAGCACAAATGTTGCAAGTATGGGGAATTGCCTTCGAGGGCGCAGTGCCATTAGCGGACGCCTGAGCAGCAGCTGCGGCGTTGGCTGCGTTCGCCACGGAGGGCTTGACAAGGACACGGCGGCCGCAGCTCTTGCACTTGCCCATGTCCACCAGCTCCACAGTGCGGTGGGGCTTGGACTCCACTAACTGAGCCTCAAACAAACGGAGTGCTCCCTGACGCTTGGCTTTGGGGTTAACTGCCTGATAGTGCGCCATCATGAGACGATTCTCCCACGGCCTCGCGACCATCCAGCGCTCCAGCCAGCTCCATCCCCAACCACCCTTGTCGGGCTCGCAGTCAATGTATGCCATGGAGCGTTGCTGGGTAGGCTTCTCCTTCTTCCACAGCTGAATGTAACGAGAAAACAGAAGTCAGCTCTGAGAGACAAGAAGCACGCAAGAACTGTTTACCCTGCGAAGCACGTAAGAACTTACCGAGCGAGAATCAGCATAAGCTAAAGCACGTTCCCTACGAAGGATGGCCTCCTGCTTGCTCTGAAGCTTTGCCTGAATCTCCTCTACCGTTCCAGAAGCATCGCACCAGCCAACCTGAAACAAAAAAAGAGTCAGTGCCAAACATCGCAACAAGCAAAAACCAATTTTCTGGCTGAAATGACAGTCGATTTTGGTAAACAGATTTATACCTCGTTGCGTTTGAGGACCACTTCAGGGTGGTACTTGCGGGAGATTTTCTCCAACTGCCGCTGGACAAGTTGTCCCTCCCTGCAGGAAGGAAAGGCATGTGTAAGAGAACACTGGGACGCCTGACGGGGAACAAGCTTCCGATTGAATGCGGGGACACGAACCTGGACATCCGGACCCGACGGGCACGGAACCGAGCCTGGACACGAACGATCGCGTGCATGCAGCGAAGAGTAGCCTTTGCCTGCTTCCTTGCAATGTGGCCTCTCACCAAAGCCTGAAGGCGAACCAGCCCCTTCAATGCACGAAGAGCCTTACGAGCCTGACGCAACAACCATTCAACACAAGTAAAACCATGAATAATATAAACTCCTTGTTAGAGATGAGATGAGATGCGCGTCAGAATAGTTTATCAAGCTTACCAGATAACCACGATACATAGTCTGAATCCTGATGGCTGCTGCAGACTCAGCTGACATAGCAGGTGCTATCGATTGCTTCTTCGCGGCGCTGTACATGCGCCGTCCAGACCATGAAGATGTTGCGGTGCTTGATTCCCGCTTGGGAGAAGATTTGAGCGACACGCCCGAGGAGCACGTTGACGCTTCAGCAGCAGATCTAGCCGCAGACTTTGAGCGATATGAGCGGCCATGCGAGGCTGAGGCTTGAGATATTGCTGGGGGAGGCATGGTAACAGAGGTGCAAGAGGTAGAGGGTGACTGAGGTGCTGTGAAGCGGGAAGCGGAACCATATCCAGGCTCTTTGGTGGAGGGGGATGCTGGATTGGCGGAGCGACTGCAAGGTGAAGGCGACCTGGCCGCTGAGCGAGAAGCAGATGGTGAAGCCCGAGCTTTTGATCCATCTGCATTGATGTAGAAGGACGGAACTGTTCGCGAAGACTGGACCGGTGATGATTCATGAGCAGAAATAGCAGATGCTGCGGGAGACTTGAAGCTTTTCGTTGCCTTTATACTTTCGTCCTTCGAGTATGCGCTTTCAGAGTACAAATCATCCTCGAGGAGTTCCTGTTGTAGTCGGTCAGAGACAGCGTCAGTATTAATAGGACGACAATACAGGATATTGTAAGTCGAAATGACACTCAGAACACCGTAAAATACGACGATCGTCCAATCTATCAGGGCCACTCACCTCAGGCTTAATCTTCGCAGGCTGAGGCTTACAGCGAAAAAGCGACTTCAACCACTTGTTCGTCATCTTTACTATTACTAGAACTGGATACTAGAGAAAGCGAAGCAAAAAATCGTGGGATCACTAACACATGCAAAGCATGGCTCAAATGATGCTAGGAGGGACCACTAAGGTAGCCTGAATGCAAGCTAGTGCTGAACCTTCAGAGCACCCAACCTCTCGGCTGAAGTAATAAGTTTGCTGAAACTGGAGCTGCACTGGGTTGAAGCCTGGACTGCACTGGGCTTTTTAGCCAAATGCCTCTACAGGCACTCCTCCCAAACATTGCCACTCGGTGGAGCTCCCGAGGCGCAACCAAGGGCTGGTTTCAAGGTTGACGGACGTGACGGGGCGTTCGAGATTTCCAGCAACTCCAACCAGCAGGCTCCGTCTTCGCCGCTGACATGGGTTGCCGAAACGTGCCACGTCTGGTACCTTTTGACGGTATGGACTTTCGTGAACGGCGGCTGGGCGTCGATATTGCCGAGCGTCACATCGAGGTGCGGCTTGATTTGTGAGGTTCGTGGCCCAGCACGAAGCCCCCGCAAGACCACACACGATCGAAACACGAAAATGCTTGGGCTGATCAAACGTGGCTCGGGAAGTAGAATAAAGTCTCGTGTATTTCGACTTCAAACTAAAGTGATCCCTTCACACTATATGAAATCCTGCACCCTGATACAAACGCGCAAATCTGCCATCGTTGTGCTGGAAATCTCCCACCAATCCGCGTGTTGTCAGAGACATCTTGCAAATCCATGGAACCGCCTTTCTTCCCCAACACAACACAAGCGCTGCTGCCCCTGATGTTTTTAGTATCACCTCACCCAGACTACCATTGCCGCTCGTCGCATTTATAAATGTCCGTCGCGTCCAGGGCTTTAGTTAACTGCCTTAGTGCACCTCGGGTAACGTCCATAACGAGCACCCGGTCTCCAATCGTGTCCGTAGTCACCGCACGAATTCGAGTCCTGGCATCCTCCGTCGTTGCCGCTTTCGCTTCGCAGTTCGCTTCGCGATCCGCTATTGACGGCATTTACCATTGTGCAGCGCCCCGCGGCAGCAGTACATCTTGCGAACAATCATATCGCCTCGTCTACGCTCGCTTCGCGCCAGCGTCTGGGATATCGCTTGCGCGGCTCGGCGAGCGGAATCTTGGGGACATGGTGCATCCGACCGCCGCTCTCTCTCCGCAACTGAGGGTATCTGTTGCGCTTTGTGCCTCTCGCGCGCGTCGCACGCTGCTGTCGCCACAACTAGCGGGATCGGGGTGGCTCCCAGCAGCCCACAGAGGCTGTTTGGTCTCCACGATAGCAGACCGCAAGATACGCGTTTCTCATTTCCAGATTCCGCGGGGGGGTTTGCAGAGTGGAACAGATCCACTGGGAAAAAGACGGCCGGGTGCCATGACGCGCGGGGTAGAGGGTTTCGGTAAGGTGGGTGCCGAGGAAGAGAGCTTTAGCACAGAACAACCAGAACCTGCGGAATCGCGTCAGGCTGACGTTAGCGCGGAACTACCTAAGCTTGACAGAACGTCCAGCGGCGCGAGCGTTGATAGCAGTAGCAGCAGCAGAAGCAGCCATGGCGGGAGCAGTCTGGTGGTGATATCGTTCTACAAGTTCGCGCAGCTGGACGAGTGCGCCGCGCTCAAGCGCCCGCTCGAGCAGGTGTGCCGCCAGCACCGCGTGTCGGGCGGCGTGATCGTCGCGCGCGAAGGCATCAACGGCAGCATCTGCGGCACGCCCGACGCCGCCGCCGCCGTCATTGACTGGCTGCGCGCCGATTCCAGGCTGGCGGGGCTGCGCACCACCGTGCAGCCCGCGGGCGCGGAGGAGAGAGAGGCGCACCGCGCAGCGGAAGCGATGGAGGCGGAGGAGCGGGGGGAAGGGGGGGCGGAGGCGGAAGCGGTGGACGGTCAGTCGGAGTGTTCCCCGCTGGCGGCGGGGCGAGACGCGCCGTTCAGATGGAACCACGTGCGCGTTAAAGTGAAGCAGGAGGTGCGCGCAGGGGGGACAGGGGGAACGGGGGAAGGGCAGGGAGAGGGCGCGCAGGAAAAGAACCCGCTTGGTGCATCATGGCGGGGCTAGCGCGACGCGCACACCCGCTACCCGACACAGTCAGCGCTCGATCCCATTCCTCCCTCCCCACACGCTACCTTCTTCCCCTCTCCCCTCCCACACTCTTTCCTCCCTCCCCGATTCCCCCCCATTCTTTCCCCAATTTCCCTCCCCTCCGCCCCTTGTGGTGCTGCGGCGAGCAGATAGTGACGTTGGGGATGCCGGAGGTGAACCCGGCGGATGGCGTGGGCACGTACGTGAGTCCGAGCGAGTGGAACCACCTCATCTCCGACCCCACCACTGTCAGTCGCCGCGCCTCTGCTCCCCACGCGCCTGCTGCTTTCCCTGCACCCCCTGCTCCCCCCGCGTTGCCTGCATTGCGTCTCTCACTCCACACTGCTGCCTTTCCCGTTTCCTCATGACCTCATGTCTCACCACCACCCTACCCTCCCACCACAGCGGCCCCTCCTTCCGCACCCCTCTCGACCCCCACCTCCCTCCCAGTTCCCCTAAACCCATTCCCGCCAATCCCCCTTCTCCAACCCCCCACAATCCCCTCCCCCAGGTGGTGGTGGATGTGCGCAACGACTACGAGACGCGCATAGGCGCCTTCCACCGCGCCACCGACCCCAACACACGCTCCTTCCGCCAATTCCCCTCCTGGGTCCAAGACCACCTCCCCCTCCCGCCCTCGCCCCCCAACTCCCCCACCCATCCCTCCCCACCCTCCGCTTCCTCCGCCTCCACCACCCCCCCTGACTCCACGTCTTCATCGGAGCCTCCCCCCGCCTCCCCCTCATCGGCCGACTCTCTCCCGAGGGTGGCAATGTACTGCACGGGGGGCATCCGCTGTGAGAAGGCCACCGCCTACATGCTGCACCTTGGCTTCCCCCAGGTGCCCCCCGCCCCGCTCACCCCCCACCCTCCTGTCTTGCTGCCTGCCATCTGCCCTCCCTCCAGTGCCTGCCCCCTGCCCCACCTCGCCAAGCACTCATTCAAACTGGTAGTTTTTGAGAATTCTCAAAAACTCCCTACCTCGCCAAGCACTCATTCAAACTGGTAGTTTTTGAGAATTCTCAAAAACTCCCTACCTCGCCAAGCACTCATTCAAACTGGTCCAGGTCGCTCAAATCCCCTCACCTGCCCCCATTCCCCCTTCCCACGCCCCCCACACCCTCTCCCCCCACCCCCCACTCCCCCCTCGTTCCCCCCAGGAGCGGGTGTTCCACCTGGACGGGGGCATCCTGCGGTACCTAGCAGAAGTACCCCCCGAGGACAGCCTGTGGCGCGGCGAGTGCTTTGTGTTTGACAAGCGCGTGGCCGTGGGGCACGGCATGCTCCCCACCTCCACCTACTCGCTCTGCTACGCCTGCCAGCAACCCGTGGACGAGGCCGACCGCCTGTCCCCGCTGTGGGAGGCGGGAGTGTCGTGCCCGCACTGCCATGGGAGTAAGAGCGAGGAGGAGAAGGAGCGTGCGCGGGCGAGGCAGCAGCAGTTTGAGCGGTGGGGGGCGGTGGGCGGGCCGGGCGGGGAGAAGGCGGAGAGGGCTGCTGAGAGGATGAGACGGCGGGCTGAGAGGCGGAAGGGAGGAGGGGCGAGTGCGGTGAGGGAGAAGGAAGATGAAGGGAGGAGGGAGTGATGGGGAAGAGTGAGGCGAGTGAGGGGCACTCACAAGCTGAGCAGCAGCAGCTGTTGTAGCCGCACTGGAACAGTACAATCATACCCTAGCTGCTATGCTGTTTTACCCAGTCGCCAAGAAAGGTTCATAAGGAAAAGGACCATCTCAAGATAGATTGGCCATGTGTTCATTCTGCTTTTGTGGTCAGCTCACCGTCCCTTGTTACAGGGCTGACCTGCTGTAATCCCATAGCGTGCCATCCTGCATACAGTCAACAATGCTGCTGTGCCTGCAACCAACCACCCAACCATGCTGTAGCGTTGAGCCCCTGTGAGACGCCCCTCTGTTTGGTGCACCACTAGGTGCCTGGTGCAGTGCAACAACACAATAAATTAAATAAATACAATACACAGCAACTCATTGCGAGCAATTGTGCAGTCATGGGAGGACCAATCACCACTGAGCAGTGCTGGGGGGGTCCTGTGCGAGGAGGAAGGACTGGAAGAGCACAAAGGCCTCCTCGGGCTTGCCTGTGGGCACCTGGTGCCCCGCCCCCCTCACCGTCACCCACGTCAGCTTGTCATACCTCGTCGCCCACCCGCCCACCTGCACGCATGCACACACACGCACATGCCCATGGGATGGATACGAGCAAGTGGGGTGAGTGAAGCGCGGTTAGAGGGCGTGCGGGCGGCAAGAATGCAGAAGAGAGCTGCGGTGCATGCAGACCCGTAACTGAAGTTGGGGCCACCCCAGGTTTGCCTAACCCAAGCGGTGCGGTATAGCAGTGCAGATTGGCACACACCTGGCCCGAGGGCATGAGCCAGGGGTAGTGCGGCTGCAGCACTGGCAGCCCCAGCGCGTCTATCCACTCGCGCGTGCCCGTGAACGGTACCACGCTGTCCGCATCGCCCCTGCCGTCACAGGCACAGAGGGAGAGACACGAGCGCGGAGACGCGCAGGGGAGAGGGGCATGGCAGCGCAGGGCGGGCAGCAAAGGCGCGATGAGGTGCGGGTGAGAGGCGCGTGCATGGGGAATGGCTGAGTGGCGAGGCACGTGGCACGGGAGAATGAGGGGTGCAGGAGTTGTGCAACGGCGGTGCAGACATGGGGGGAGGGGCAACGGAGCAGGGGCGCGAGGTGCGGAGGCATGGGGTGCGGGGGGCGCGGGGGGGGGGGGGGCAGGGGAGCGTACGAGAAGATCCAGAAGCGGATCGGCTGGTCCAGCAGCGCCGCGATGGTGGGGATGATGTCGCTGCCCTGGTTGACCGCGCTGTAGTCTATGCCGTTGCTGGTGGGGGGGAGAGGGGAAGGGGGACGGGCAGGAATGCAAGATAAAGGGGAGTGGAGTGCAAAGCAGCGCCGCGATGGTGGGGATGATGTCGCTGCCCTGGTTGGTGGCGCTGTAGTCTATGCTGTTGCTGGTGGGGGGGGGAGTGGAAGGGAAGGGAAAGGGCAGGAATGGAAGAGAAAGGGGAGCGAGGGGGGAATGGGTGTGTGGGGAGGGTATGAGAGTGAGGAGCGATGAGGATGGGATGAGTAGAAGTGGGGGCCAAGAGAGGCAAGTTGCAGGCATGCTATAAACACCACTGCGCCTGCCACCCACCCACCCACCCACCAACCCACCCGCCTGCCTGCCCGCCCGGCGGCCTTACGAGCAGAGGCTCCACTGGGAGGCGCGAAAAGCGGGCGCACGGAGGGTCCTGTAGACAGCGGGCGAGCGCAGGTAGCGCTGCACCCACGCATCCATGCACGCCGGGCTGTCCAACGGATCCATCGCCTTGCCACTGCTCGCCGCTCCGCTGCTGCTCGCCACACCGCCACTGCTCGGCGCCGCCAACTCCCCGCCCGCCTGTGCTTGCGCTGCTGCCTGCTGCTCCAGCGCCCGCTGCTGCTGCTGCTGGATGGCGGCCTGCAGTGCGGCCACGGAGAAGCGCAGGCGCGGGTTCATGCGCGCCGAGGCGGACAGGCGCGCTGATGAGACGTCCGCTAGACAGTAGGGCGCGTAGATGTCTGGGGGGGAAGTGGGGAGAGTGAGGGGGGAGGGGGTGGGTGGGTAAGAGGGAGCATGCGTTGGGGGGGAGAAGAGATGAGAAGAGGTGAGAGAGGTGAGATGACGGGTGGGGTGGAGGAGCACGTGCAGGCAGGTGTGTGGAACATTGGTGAAGGGCACGGAGGGGCAGCAGGGTAGAGAGACGTGGAGAGGCAAGGAGCGGGAGGGGCGTAGAGAGGGCGACGTGAGACGGCAGAAGAGAGGTCGAGGTGGTGGTGGTTGGCGGTGCTTACTGTAGGGGTCGATGGGCTCGTACTGGCGATGGCCGAGCAGACCCGCCCGTGCCATGCCATGCCACGCACATGCCACACACATGCCACAACAAGGCAGCAGAGATGCACATTGGAGTGGGGAGACCAGATGAATGGGGGAAATGAATGAAGAGGAGAGGAATGAGAGTGCAGCCACCCACGAGTCAAAGGCAGATAGAGGGTGTGAGAGAGAGGCGTGGGAAGGGGAAGGGCGAAGCAAGCAAGCAGTGCAGCACGGCATGGCATTTGCACGCGGCACACACCCAGGGCGAGAAGGCGGAGTTGATGTGGTAGCGGCACTCCAGGTTGGCAGCGCCGTACGAGAAGTCGCACAGCCGGGGGGGGGGGGCGCACACGCACACACGCACGGGGGAGAGGGAGAGTGGGAGATTGGGGGGGGTGCGCAAGGAGTGGAGCGCACAGAGGCGCCAATGCAGTGGTGCACAGCGCTGTGAGTGGTTATGACAGCAAGCAGCGGGGCGAGAAGCAGAGGGAGGGGCGGGATGAGGGGCGGAGGAGGAGCGGGGGAAGAGGCGGGGGTGGGTGGGGGCGGGGCGGGGGGGAGGGGCGGGGCAGTACATTGATGGCGTCGTTGTAGAGGTCGGAGCTGAGCATGCCGTGGTCGTAGAAGAACTGGATGGGGCCCTGGCAGATGAACGGGGGGAGGGGAGGGGCAGAGGGTTGTGCATGCCATGGGTCCACCGTCCAGGTTGCATGGCAGATGGGGCGCGTGCACATAGCCGTGAACACGGATGGCATGGGACGTGCACGAGTGGCCATGGAAAGCGCGGATGGGGGAATGGGCGGATGGGGGGCTGGGGGAATGGGATGGGGGGATGGGCGGACGGGGGGATGGGGGGATGAGGGGATGTCCCGCACACGACGACAGCCGCAACTGAGCCGGACGATGTTTGCATAACTGCAGCGTGCTGCCTGTGCTTCTATACAACTTGCAGTCGAATTGCATTGAGAAGCACGGAGGCTTGCCTTGGTGTCATGGGCATAGTTCACAAACGGGTTGCCCAGGAAGATTCCTGAAAAGTCCAAGTTCAGCCGCGTGCCGCCCTGGATCTGATTCTGCTCGATGATGCGGGCGGCGAGTTGTGGAATGTAGTGGCCTGAGGAAAACGAGACGGGGTGGCAGGGGTGAGGGGGGAGCATGGCGAGTCGGGTGGGTATCAGGTGTGAGTGACAAGGAAATAGGGACGGGCGAAGCTGAAGAAGCAGAAGCGAGCGCACTAAGTCACTGCAAATCCTCCCACCGTAACCCTCCTCGCCCGCGCAGCTCTCCCCCTTGCCCGCGCAGCTCTCAACCTTACCCGCGTAGCTCTCCCCCTTACCCGCGCAGCTCTCCCCCTTACCCGCGCAGCTCTCACCCTTACCCGCGTAGCTCTCCCCCGCGACGTAGAACTCTCTCCGCGCGTACCGCGGGTGGCGCGCCACGAACCCCACCAGGAACGCGTGGTTGTCCTTCGCTGGTTGGGGAAGGGGGGAGGAGCGGGAGGGAAGGGGGGAAGCGGGGGAGAGAGGGGGCAGGCGGTGGGGAGAGACGACGGGAAAGGAACGCCAGGGGAAGGGAATGGGAGTGTGCGGGAGGGCGGAAGGGAGGTGAAGGCGCGGGGGTGATGATGGAGCGGAGCAGAGCTAGCGCGCTCACGCGCAAAAAATTCATGAGTCTTTACAGTCTGTCTGACTTATCATTACCTGTCTGTTCGTCATCAGTGGTGTAGTCTGACGTGTCATTGGAGTAAGAGTATCCCACGCCCACGGGCGACTCGAGGAACACTATGTTCACCACTGCGCGCGCGGACAGCACAGAGAGGAACGGCGGGGAGAGGGAGGGTTGGGAAATGCGGGAAAAGTGGGGAAGGGAGGGGAGAGGAAGGGGGAGGTGAGTGCGGGGAGTGGCGCGGAGAGGCACTGAGAATACGGGTGCGGCGGAGCTTTGGGTGCGAAGCGTGTGGTTGCGGTGGCATGCAAACAGTTGTGCGGCGGAGCCGAGCGGGCGAGGCAGGGTTGAAGGGATGTGCAGGAATGCGAGAGAGCGGGAGGAGCAGAGAAAGCGGCGGAAGCGAGGAGCGCGAAGAGAGCGGCGAGAGCGAGGAGGGCGGAGAGAGTGGGGAGAGCGGGGAGAGCGGAGAGAGCGGGGAGGGCGGGGAGGGCGCTGACGTCGGTTCCAGGCGTATTTATTGTAGAGCAGCGCGGCTCCCGCCTTGGACGCGACGCGCCACGGCCCCACCTCCTCGAACAGCCCGCACCCCACCGACGAACACCCCGGTCCTGCCGCACGCGCGGACATGGGGAGAGGATGACACGGGGGAGATGAGAACATGGGGAAGTGGCCATGCGGACATGGGGAAATAGTGGGGGCAGGAAGGGGGGAACGTAAATTCGCCGGACAAGGTGGAGAAGGGACTGTTCCAGGAATGCACGGATGCTCGTGCGGCTAGTGACAAAGTTACCCGCAGGCTTGCTCCCTACGAGCCTGAATCGATATGTGTCATTCGATGCGGCTGCTGGGATGATTATCAGAAGGTTTCACCAGCCAACGCCGTTAAGGGTCGTCCAAGGCACCGCCGTCGCGCGTTCTGTAATGCATAGCGGTAGAGTGTTTCATTAAAGCTCACCGCCGTTGAGCCAGAGCAGCAGCGGCTTGGAGTCGGCCTGGCCGATGGCCTCCACGAGCCAGTAGAAGTACGCCTTCCGCCCGTCCACCGTTATGTAGCCGGCCGACTGGTTGAACTTGGGCGCGCTTGCTGGCTGACCGGGTAGTTTCGCGACAGCATCTGGCCTGCCCTGCGCCGCTGCTCCCGGCGCGTACGGAAGGACTAGAGAGAGCAGCAGCGGCAGTAGACATTGTGCTAACGACAAACGCGTTGTAATCTTGCCACGTAAATGAGGTATTTGTTTAGGAGTGCATGCCCTGAGGTGGATATGTATCCCAGCTACGGCATTTCGACACGTGGAATGAGATCTCGCAGCGCGGCCAGACTGCATGCCGACGGATTGAACGACGTCGTCGAGGCGTAAATTAAGAGGCACGGTGACGATCACATAAATAAACTACTGCCAGTGGGGCACGCGAGACGTAACGCGAGTCTAACGCTGCGACTCGATCAATTGCACACCGACCGAGGAGAGTGAGAGTGCCGAAAGTAGGTGCTAAGCGGAATTCGTTTAGGTGTTTCGATGGACATGGCTAGGTACGGATCGCACGGGCATGAGCGAGAAGTGGAGGTAGCGAAGAGCTAACAAGTGAACATAGTGCACTGCGTGGCGTCGCTGGTGCGGTCTGCGTCGTTCTTGGGCCAACATAGAGTAGAATTTGCACAACAAGAGAGCTCTTCCGCCAGACGCGGGTGGAAGGTAGTAAGTGACAAGCAGAGCAGAGGTAAGGAACATGGGGGATGGGGGAGGGGGGGGAGGGAGGGGGTGTGATTAGGGGTGGCGCGGGCAGGGAAGGAGTGGTTGTTGTGGGGCTGGCTGGCGGACAACCTCAGCTGCCTCCCCCCGCGCCACGAGGCTGACATGACACTTGTACTCACTGGCTCTGTCACCGCGAGCGGTTCTTCTGGTGTACGGTCGGTGTGTGGGGTTTGTGTTGGCTGGCTGGACTGGGCTGGGCTGGGCTCTGCTGGTGGATACTGTACACTCGTTATGCTCGACTTCCCCCAAGCTAAGGCGCTACGCGACAGTCTGAGCCTGTTGTGTGCTGACGAGGGTGACGACGACGATGGAATCGAGGGATGGTGTGGGGGGGAACCACATCGCGTGCCACCGGGAACGGCTACATAGGAACAGCACATCTGATATCAATGTACCTGCTTATAAAATGAGGAGAAAGGCTGCGGTTGGATATGGGTGAGGGTTAAGGTTATATATTGATCGTAATCAAAGTACAAAGAGTAATCCATATAGCAGTCTAGAAACATGGCCGAGGTGGCCAGCATCCGCAGTGGAGCACGTGGAACACACGTTATTCCTTGTCCTCGCGGACAACCGCAAGCTGCCTGGGGAGACGCTCTATGCGATGGATGACTATGTCTCAGAAAGTGAATGCAACGGAATGTTTGACTTAGGAGAGCAAGGCATACAAATAGAAACCCTAAGAGTGTTGTACTCCTTAGAGTGCTACTCACTGCAGCCTACAACCAATAACAACATTTGACACATCCCCGTAGGCTAAGTGAGGGGCATCAAAGCAAGCATGGTGAACAAACAGTCACAAGACCAGTCAAAGCAAGAAACAAGGCAAGCTCAGGGTGGATCTCAAGGACACCACACAAATTCCGAGCGCAATCAAGCGGCCACAAGGCCAGTTCAAGAGTTCACTAGGATATATATATGAAAACACAACAAGCAGAGCAAGCAACAGGACTACAGCAACCGAGGGCCTACCTCAACAAGCCCCAACTGCACACAAAACCTGTGGTGATCACCAAGCGCCAAGGCCTTGGTGAAGACGTCTGCAGTGTTGGCCTCTGAGGCCACAAAGTCCAGGCGTGCCTGGCCGCGTCGCTGCAGCTCTCGCAGGAGGAAGTACCTCACGTCAATATGTTTCACTCTGCTCTCCAGTCGAGGCTCTCGACACAGGAGGATCATGGCCTTGTTGTCAGCGTACAAGGTCGGTGCAGAGCGAGGCCGCTCACCAAGGTCGGCGAGCAAGAAGGTCAACCAGCGAAGCTCCTGTGCCGCCATGGCACCAGCGTAGATCTCTGCCTCTGCACTGGAAGTAGCCACAGACGACGACCGTGTAGACCTCCACGACACATCACCAGCTCCCAGACTGAAGCAGTAACCCTCAGTCGAGCGCTGAGTCTCCACGTCGTCAGCGTAGGAAGAGTCGCAGTGACCAGTCAACGCCACTGGCTGAGTCCCTCCAAGCACAAGCCCCATGCCTGATGTAGTCGCCAGGTACTTCGCCACCCTCTCAGCAGCTGTCCAGTGGACAGGACGGTGTCTCCCAGTCGCAACAAAGCGAGAGAGGACGCTGAGGGGAAAGGCGAGGTCCGGCCGAGTACAAGTCATCAGGTACATGAGGCAGCCCACCAGCTATGCGTAGGGACCACTGGGCTCAAAAGGCTCGTCGGGAAAGGGGCCAGTGAGTCTGTGGTCAACAGCAAGAGGTGTGGGCTGTGTGGTGGAGAACTGGAAGTCGAACCGCCGAAGGACCTGCTGCACCATGTGTGACTGAGTCAGTGTGATGGTGCGAGCGGCTCTGTCCCTGGTGATCTGCAGGCCAAGGTAGCGCTGCAGTTCACCTAGGTCAGTGCACGTGTGTCTCTTCTGCAGTTCGGACTTCACCTGAGCCAGAGCTGCCCTGTCTGCTGTGGCAAAGACCAAGTCGTCGACGTACACTAGTATAAAGAAAGGAGTGGAACCAGTGCGAACAAACAGCGACGGGTCGGCAGAGGAAGGACAAAACCCAAGGTCACGAAGCGTGGAGCGAAGAGTGTCGTGCCACTCACGGGGCGACTGGCGGAGACCGTAGACTGGCCGTCTCAGGCTCCACTGGGTCCCAGGTGGGAAGGTGTCAGTGAAGCCAGGAGGGCGGCGCAGCCAGATCTCCTCGTGTAGTCGGCCCTGGAGAAACGCAGTAGAGAAGTCAAGGGAGTGCAGCTCGTAGTCTCGCTGTGCTGCTACGTGCAGTAACACCCGAAGAGTAGTCATCTTCGGGGTCGGGGCGAAGGTCTGGAAGAAGTCAACTCCCTCACGCTGACTGAAACCCCTAGCCACGTAGCGCGCCTTGAACACAGGCGGTGAACCAGGCGGCCGCTTCACCTTGAAGCGTCACATGCCATCGACTACGTTCGCCCTGGGAGGGGGAACTGCGTCGACGTAGGTGCCTGTGGATTTCCAAGACGCTAACTCCGAGGCCATAGCCGCTTTCCACTTTGAGGCCCACGCCCCTGACACTGCCTCGCGGTAAGTGCGAGGAGTCGGTATGTCAAGGGCGTCGGGGTCTCCCTCAGGGGATAGCAGCATGGCACAGACAGAGGGAGAAGCGGCAGCCCAGTACTCCAGCTCAGACTCTCTGTCCTCTAGGACGTCACAGCCAAGGGCAAACCCACCCCCGACGGACAGAGGACGGGAGGGAGGAGCTGGCACCACACGGGTGGTGTAGTCAAGGCGACTGGCGGCAGCAAACTTAGCGACAGCGGCAGTGAGAGCCGAGACAGACGACGGAGGGAAACGAGAGTCGGTGACAAGAGTGGCGAGGACACGAGAGACAACAGGACGAACAGCGCGGTAGTAGTCAGTGACAGGAGTAGGGGGGAAAGGGAGAGAGGACGGAGGTGGACACGGGAGAACGGACTCAGGAGGAGGACGACGAAGAGACGAACAAAGGAGGGCAGTGCGGAGGTCGGTAACGGGAGACGAGTGACGAGCACGCGGAGGACAGGGACGGACACGAGAGTGCGGGACACCAGGTGGAGGAGACTGCGGTGGAGGAGAAGACCAGACCGCCGGACTGGCGTCAGGAGGAGGAAACGTGGGACCAAACGCTGGAGGGGACGGAGTGTGAACAGGAGGAGAGGAGGGAAGACCAAGGGCCCGAAGGCCACTCACGGGTGGGAACAACTGCCGCTCCAGAGGGAGCTGCTGTGGTCGCAGCTGCGGCGGTGGTGTCTGCTGCTGCTGCGGCTGCTGCTGCTGCTACGGTGGCTGCTGCTGCTGCTGCTGCTGCTGCTGCTGCTGCTGCTGCTCCAGCAGGTCCAACTGCCGCAACTCCTGCCGCTCCCTCTCCAACAGCACTTGCTCCTCACGCTCACGCCGACGGGCCGCCTGGAGACGTGTGTCGTGGCGGTGGGGAGGCGGAGTGGACTCCGCAGAACCAGTGTCTCCTGCTCCAGTCTCCTCAGTACCAGCACCTCCAGTGCCAGCGCCTCCAGCACCAGCACCCCCAGAACCAGCACCTCCTGTGCCAGCACCTCCAGCTTCAACACCCCCAGAACTAGTACCGCCAGTGCCAGGACCTCCAACTCCAGCACCCCCAGAACTAGCACCTCCAGTGCCAGCACCTCCAGCTCCAGCACCCCCAGAGCTAGCGCCACCTGCGCCAGCACCTCCAGCTCCAGCACCCCCAGGACTAGCACCTCCAGTGCCAGGACCTCCAGCTCCAGCACCCCCAGGGCTAGCGCCACCTGCGCCAGCACCTCCAACTCCAGCACCCCGCAAACGAGCACCCCCGGACCGAGTACCGCCAGTGGCTGCACCTCCAGCTCCAAACCAACCGAGTCCACAGTAGCCTGTCGCGGAAGTACCGAAGGCTGCTGAGG